CCCCCCCCCCCCCCCCCCCCCCCCCCCAAGAACTCCATAGTTCTGAGAGAACACACACATGAGGCACATGCCCTTCGACGGGACACCCTCACCGGGTTCCACTCATTACCCGAGCAAATGCATGGTTTAGAAGGATTCGAGGGGAAATCTCCAGCCCCTTCATTCCATGGAAAATTCGAGAGGTAGGTTGATCAAATTATCAAGATAAAGAATCAAGCTCTCCCTCCGTATCGTATAAATAAATAAATAAATAATAAGAATGCTCATTTCAGAAAGAGAAGACATGGGACACACTTGATCATTCATCATGTCTTTCAGTTACTTTGCGATGCATTTTTACCCACTTTTGACAAGTTTTAAAATACCATTGTTGGAGATGTGTCGGTGAGTGAGAATGAGGATCCACCTCTTGGCAGCCGTTTGCACTTCATCGATGCTGTCAAAATTTGCTTCAGATGAGGTGTCCCTTAATGACGCAAAAATGCGGAAATCCGATGGTGTTAAGTCCGAGCTAGTTCTGGGAATACTGTCCAATTAAACTTTAAAAGATTTTCCATGTGACAAAGGCAAGATGTGTAACTATCATGTGAAATCCAGGACGTTTCCGTTTTTTGGCAGGCGTCAGTTTGCGAAGAGTGTCAATGTAACGTGCATTGCCAATTTCATCATAATTATTGTAAGAAATTGCTCACAATTCGGTGTTGGCCCTTGACCGTTCTTCATCCTAGACACATGCCTTTGATGAAGTCTTTCGTCGATGTTTCGTAAGGTTTCTACGGTGAAGGAACGGAGAAGAGAAAGAGGAAGCGTAAATAGGCACCTTTATTGGGAAACAAACTCAGCATCACTCAAGCGAGAGAGGCACGAAGAAAAAGCGAAACGGGATCGAAACGTGCGTGCAGACCCGAGAGGCGAAGGGGGAGGTATCGTTTGTGCTTATCGTACACCGTAATACTGCTCTGGTATTGATGGAGGCAGGAGGACGGAAGGCGTGAGAAAGGTTCATTCGCTCGATCACGCACACCATACACGGGGAATCTTCCTCCAAATCTTCTATCACCGTCGTTGGAAATTAGTTTGGAAAAACGGATGCAAGTATCACATGAGCTGAAGAAACGAAAAAAATATTCTTCAGCCACGACTCCCTTCACTTGGTCATCCCTTACGGGCTCGAATCCCGGTCGTTTGACATGCTCTGGTGGAATGCCCGGTAGATGAAACTGAAATGACGAGAAAAAAATAAGTAAGTGATTTCGTGTCTTTGCAAGGCTAATTCAATCGCATTGACCTGGAGTGATCTGGAAATATTTCGTGGGGGTGCCGTTCAGTGTCATACTATCCCAGGGTTTATCTTGGATTTCGAAACAACAATGCTAAGATCTCTCATTCATTCCTATTGCAAATGAAAACTCCCTGGGAGCAGCATGTAGGTTTTAGCTATGAAATGCCTCCCTAGTCCATTCGGAATTACTTCTACCTGGACAAGCCAGGCTAACTTTGATAATTTTACGAAGAGAGAGTTTTAAATGTTGAGATGAAAAAAATATCAAACCAAAGTTAATGCGACTCTTTCAAGAAAAAATAGGACACTAGCAATTCCGAAAGGCTCAAAGTCGCAATCGCTGGAATTTGTGTCGAATGATGCTAACATTAAAAATTGGCGTTTAACAGGTTGACCTCCACGAGGCTCACCAGTGCGCCTCACTGAATGGGAAAATCAATAGGCCAACATTGCCGTGGCGGTCAACGTGTTAAGGAGCCACTATCCCATTCCAAAAAAAAACTGAGTTCTTCACTGATCTTCTGGAGATATATTCATTTATCCGTTCATTGTTTGGAATTCCGTTCTGCGATCAAGGCGATACCGTTGGAAAGCTCTTCGTCTCATTCAATTCAATATACTGTACACGAGGACTCTTGCTGGGGACTCGACAAGGTAATCAAGAGAAGATGGAAGGGTCCGCTGCTTCGCCGCTCTATAGGGGTGTATCGGGGTGTAGACCCTTCGTGACGATTCACTCGAATTCTCGCCACGATTGCGTCGATTGGGGAGGGGAGTTCCCTTCGAAGTCGAGCGAATTCTGCCGTGCCAACCGTGGAGGCGAATTCTTCGCATTCTAAAGCCATTCGCATTCTGACTCGGGCTCCGTGGTTGCCCCCTCCCCAACACTTATATCTTATTTCTATTCCACGAATGCGGAAGAAACAGAAAAAAAAATCCGGGCGACAGACTTGTGTTCCTTGAGGGTGTCGTGCCTCTTGAAGGACTTGTCGCAGACATCGCAGTGATAAGCGGCGGAGGAGCCGGGGGAGCTCTCCTTGTGGGATCTCTCGTGGATCATCAGATTGTAGGCCTTTCCGAATCTGCGCTGACAGAATCGGCAGTAGAAATCCCTGTCCCTGTCTCGCGACACCCGCCGGCAAGTCTTCTTGCTCGCCGGGCTGCTCCCTCGGTACACTCTCTCCTCATTCCCTTCCGCCATTCTGGGGCATCAACTGCACTGGAAATGGAAAGTGCAGGCGTTTCAAGACTCGCTAGAAGAGCAGAAAAATGCGGGTAATAAAATACAGCGTGGTATCGGAGGGAACGGAATGCAATAAATGAATCAGTCGTTTGGACTGTGTACCCGATTCATATTTTCTGCGACATTCTTCTCTCCAGAGCAAGCGCTACCGGTTCGGTGTCTGTTTAGGTAGTCAACTATTTCTAGAATCGATTTCTTCCTGAATCTGTAAATGGGAATATATATTTGTCGATTTTTGATTCCTGCAGGTTTAAGATTATATATTTTTTTGTTGCACATCTCATCGTATGTGATCCTCGAGAAAATAAATGGAAACGTTGGCTAACTAAACCCTAACTTTCCAACATATCTATCGTGCCTCTGTATTCTTGTATCTCGACGATTCCCGATTCAGCTCTTACTCAGAGGAAAAAGAGCGATTAATCATCAAGATTAACGCCTCAGAAGGGGCAGAGCTCTTTGGAAACCCTTTCAATTTCTGTCATCGAAGGAATTTCCTTGGAAGTTACTTGGGCAGCGATTGACGGCAGCTAAAATGGGGCTATTTATTCCTGCAAAACTTCCAGGATATCCCCGAATTACCAGTTTTCACATTTTAGTAGACGAAAGTACAGATCAATTTCTAAAGTGGTCTGTACTTGTTTTTCCTGTACTTCACGATCAGATCCAGGAGACTCGAGTCATTCGGGATTCAATCCTCAATGGGAAAGAATAAATACAACTTCAAAACTTCAAATAATAATCAAACTAGACCATAGTCAAATAGTAGACACACAGAGCATATTTCACAGACGATAATTAGTTTGGATCAGAGATTTCAATTTGGGGTGATATTAATGGCCTTGCAGCATGGTAGAATGTGGGAACAAATGAATATTTATTGACTTTTCAACCTTTACTACATACTGCTATTACTACTACTACTTGAATGAGTACCATGGCTACATCTGACTTGACTCTTTGTTGATTTTGTCTTAAAACTTGTCTTCCTTTGTCAAACATCATTGTCCTGCATCTTACAATTTCTAACCATTGTGGTTTTCATCACTTTTGGTGTTTAAGACAGTAAACCTGATTTGGGTGCCTTTTACAAATGGAATCTCAAGTTTTATGTTTTTTTTCATAAGTTCATGTACTAAAGGAGTTAATTTTCCGAAAGCCAAACGGAACCTCTCCGAGATCGAGTATAACTTAATCCGTCTTCAATTATACATCCTCGGCGTCGTTTGAACGTGTACTTGCCAACGTTGATTCCCCCAATCGTTCGTCGGTTCACATGCAAGGGGACAACATTCGACACAGCTGAACACTTTCTCAACATGAAATCAGCGTTAAAAATCCCCCATTCGTAATTCTATTATTACTCGTAGTAACTATTATTAAATGTCTTGGAAGAAAATGGTGATCCTGAGCTTCACATTCGAAGGAGCTAGTCTGTGTATATGCACCATCAAGTTACTCCTTAGTTGATTTTATTTGGAGCCCTCAGCATTGATCTATACGAGCCAGTCATTGCTGAAAATCAAGGTTGATCCAACGTGTTTGTGCAGACTGGATAAAACGGAGACGTCTTATTCGGCAAACATTCAAGCTTAGCGATCACATTAGCTGCATCAATTGCTGTCCATCAGCTGGAATTTAGTGTCTCAAAGCTTGCGTTTTTAATGGCAGTTCAATCGAACTGGAATCGTTGTCGCTTTTAAATCAAGGTATCCGTGAATAGACGAACGTTTCGACTGGAAATTAATTCCTTTCTTGAATGCCCTTCCTTTCCTTGTCGAAGTTCTAGAAAATATATAGATTGGTTTTTATTATAAAAAGCACTGTCTTCTACATACGGAACCCGACAACTTCGTAGAGGAAGAATGGATTTGGATTTGGGTTCCTTACGGGTTTAGCCGATGTTTTTAACCCGACGGTCCCGCAACGCCAGCTCTCTTTGAATCCCTCGAAGTGAGAAAACCGGTTCTTAACAGAAGAATTATGAAGACAAATTAAATAAAACTAGGAGTAAGAGACTGTTGAAAAGGACCCCACGGGGTTCCGTTCCTTGGCTCCTGTTAGCGGCAGCGTACATATTCAAGGCGTTGTATTTATTATTTCCCTGAATATAATATAAATACTATATCCTATTCATCAGCATATACTGTATATTGTGTCCGTTATCCCATCTTCTTATATGCTTTATTTTTTCTGTGCTCTCAAACTTACTTCTAGATTAGCAGGGTCCAAAGCTAGAGGCAACTTATCTTCTTTTTTATCAGTGTTTTAACATAGTGATATCTGATTGGCACCGGTTTTCGGAACAAAGTTGTCATGAGTCACGTTGGAGTTTGGTACCTTTTTTTCTGGAAGTGTCACTCTTAAGTTAAAGCTGTGTTACCATCTTAAATTGAAGTGGTGTTGTGGATACTAACAGTGCCATAAAATATCTATGATCTAAAATATTTATTGCAAAAAAGTAAATGCTTCTGAGGTTTCTCAAAAGTACTTTTAGTATTTGGAAAACTTTTGAGATTGGGCTATAAATCCCATTATGATGGCTACTTTCTTCATCGACCCGACAAAAATGCTTGCTCAAGTAAATATGCAGAAAACGTTGTGCCCAGAGTGAGAAAAGACACTGATCATTTCCCGATCACTTCGCTTAATGCGAAGAACCGTTGCTAATGGAATCCCAACGAGTCGAGAGGAAACCTCAAGCCGACTGACTTATGATCCTCAAAGGATCATAAGTCACTCATCAAGTAATTTTCCTCAGAGTTTTTTAGACTTGCCGCCACATCTTCTCGTCCTACTATTGAACTTGCTTACTGCTTACTGCATTGATTGGACCTGCGGTGGGAAAGTGCATATATTCCGCCTTCATGAAGCATTGTGAATGTGCTATTCTTTCTGCACGAGGTACTTCATGTTTACTCCCTACTTATTTTAAATATTTTTCGTAGCATTCCAAATTCCCGTTTCAGAATATCCAGGAAAGAAGATTTTAAGATAAAATTAAGTATCCCAGTGGCCAACAACCGACCGATTCCACAAACGAATACGAGTCAGACATCGTGAGAACGAAAAAGGTGAAACTGGTCACGTCGCAATTCCATGGCTGGTTCCCTGCGTCTTAGAGAATGGAGAGGACCTGGCTAGAAATGAATGGCTCCATTCAGGAATTCTTTTCCAGAGAGGGGGGGGGGGGGGGGGGGGGGGGGGGGGGGGGGGAGGGGGGGGGGGGGGGGGGGG